GGGCCCGATAACGGCAGCCGAAGGAGCCACTGGTCCTGCGACCGCTACGCCGGGCAGCAAGCCGCCCAGGACTACGGTTCCGTGCGATCCCCAGCCAAGGGAACGACGTTCGCGTTCCGGGCTACCGGAGGCAATGGCCAAAGCGGCTACGAGGACGACCTGAAACATCGATATGTCATTCCATGTTCCGTAAGACGACTTTGAATTTACGAAATACTACCCCTTCTACGCGTTAAACTCGGACATTGCTATTGTCTGGTCATAGGAAAATAGGTAATCAGGAACAGAGGGTGTATTTAGTCGATAACGGTCGGGCAATTAAAGCAGTTTTGTCTCAATAAGATCGGTCCGTTGGATAGATTGAAGGATATCGATTCAGGACTTAGGTACATACTATAGTTACGGAGAAGAAGTTCTGCTGGACCATCGCCAACATTTAAGCTCGGCACGAGTCTAGAGATTGTATCGGATGCAGCGCTGATATATGAAGTATGAACGATACGTATAGGCCATGAAACGTGATTTCTTTCGGAGAAAAGACCGCCTCCCTTGGCAAGTGCACGCCAATGCAAGTACACGCGATCGAAGCAAATACCGTGTAAAGTATTAACTACCGAGTATCAATAGGTATATTTCTAACCAACGTATCGATAAAAAGTATCTTACCAAGTACTTCATGTTATTTGTGGCTTTAGTCTTCGGCTGTCCGGTGACTGATGGTCAACCCTCCTGACACACTGACTTATATACTCCATCGAGAATATCGAAGAAGTTGACGATATAACCTTCAACCCTGCATGAAAGTAGATATAAGAAACGAGTTAGGGTGCGGTTAACGATGGACGGGATCGGAGTAGGCGAGTTCCGGGTCCAACGTCATAGACGAGAACCGTTATCGCGAGGAGACGCGTTCCAACCTCGAATCGTGTACGGTTCGTTGTCGTAATAACGCTTGTTCCGAGAGAATTGAATTTTCCCGACAGTCAGCAATGCAAATTATCTGTACGCTAGTTTTCACGATCGTCTCGTTTCGTGCTCGTTCTCGGCACAAAACTTCGTATATTCCTTCTCTTGATAAACATTAACAGCTTGCAACTGTGTAATTCTACCACTGTTAATTATTTGTAATTGCTTAGAAACAACTACTGTGTATCTAGCGAAGCGGTCGGTAATTAACCAGTTCAAATATACTTGACTGGGAAAATGTTACGGGCGTTATTATTTGTATCTACATATAAGTTTTCCTCAGATGTTCGTATGCTGCCTACGCTCTAAATAGGCGTTATTAATTATAACCACGAGACATACGAAAATACGTGTCTTTCTTATCAACGAAGGTGCTTCGATTTTGGAAGCTTTGAAACATTGAATACCGCATCTTTTGTTGGTGGCAAAAGTTTGCTTCGCCGAACGAGCATCGTCTTTGCTTTAATATTCGAGTAACAGGAGAGGAGGAGGCAAAACGAACTTTTTGATTTATGACTTTGCAACTTCGACACGAGTTTCCATTGGAAACTTTAAATTTTCCATCAAGCTCGGACGTACAATTATTTGATTAAATGTCGTTCGCGAAATGCATCTCTCGTTAGGTAATCGTGTAGAAAATAAGAAAATAAATTTTAATATTATATTTTACGAAATTATTTTGTAAGCTTTCTTTCTTTAACCTCCTCGTCCAGCGGAGAAAAAAAATAGGAAGCTAACCTGTGTCGATTAAAAAAAGCGTAGGAAAGGGAATTAATTCGGTTTCTAGGAAAGGATCAACAGCGTAAAAGAATAAACGAGCATCGGTCGTGGAGCGTACGGGAAGCGAAATAAAACGAGAGAGATCCATCGTTTCGCGTTCGCGTCGGCCTTTTATTTCGGTCGTCTAACCGAACATTTTTCCCTGTGTCCCACTGATTTCTACGATGACCACGGCAATTCGTCCTTTGAATCTGCCCACCTGGAACAGCGTAATTGCGCGCGGCAGATTTGTCAAGTTGGAAACGGCCAGAGGTTCGCGTTACGTCGCCTGCACGAATTTACGGCTAAGTCTCGGACCAAACTCGCTGTCATGAAACGCTATACTTCTCGAAAACTTACCGGGAACAGTTTCACCGACGCGACGACAGAATAATCGGAGAAACTTGAAACTAGAGTATCTCGACCTGAATTCTCCTATTCTTCGGCGTAAACTTTGAACATTGAATATGAAAACGTCCCGTCGAAACTGTGTTTTACGAACTTCAAACAAACGAGCATCTTGCCTTGCAATTTTCGAATAAACACTTTTTAACCGACTTCGAAAAAGGAGGAGGTTACTCAATTCGATCAGTATATTTTTTTTTTTTTTTTTTTTTTTTTATTATTTTTATTTTCTATGTGTGCCCGCCTATTACGCCTAGCTGGATGCACCGATCGGAACGAAACCTTTTGCATCTGGTAGGTTCTGACTCCCCATTGGTACCATTATCAAAAAATTTTTCATTTTTCAATTGCAAAGTGTTGTTATTGCAAAAAAACCGGCAACTTTTGAAATAAACTTTTCTCGATTTTAGTGCGCTTTTAATATCTTATCACGGACATGATTCTGAACAATTTTGTTCATATAAAAATTTCGCGGAAAGCTTTAGTTTTCGAGATATTAGCGAAAAATTGTTGAAAAGTTTTGAAATCAACTTTGGACGATTTTAATGTCCTTTTAATATGTTATCAGGGGCACGATTCTGAACAACTTTTTCCTTATCC